AAAACCAATCAGAAAATCCAAAAGCTCCTAGTTTAGACAAAAGAATGGAATGATCTACTCTGTCAAATGCCTTAGAAAAATCAGTATAAATAGCGTCAACCTGATATTAATATATAATAATAAGAATGGGTCTTTATTTTAATCTAAATCATTAATACAGCTACATATTTTAAATGGGGCGACATTCAACATCGTTGCTCTTCCATGCAACCCCGTATTTCTTACGAGGGTACGTTACGACCCTGTATAACCGACGCCAATGATTCAGTCCGTCAGTCGACCAAATGTTCTTGTCAAAAGAGTTCAAAACATTGCATTTCTATTGTGTTTTGATTAACTGTCTGGTGCGTAGACTTGAAAATGAAAACGGCCATGGTCTGATGTCGACCAGCTTGTAATCCTTCACGGAACTACAACTACCTGTCTTATACCTACCATTTATACTGAAGTCTCGTGAAGTCGAAGTCTTCCCATAACCACCCATAACATCCTACATTGTGTGCCTTTTATGAAAGCCGACAGTCAATTTCCTAACAGCTTTCGTGGAATATCTTGACAAAGCGGAAAGCGGGGTTCCAAAGACAATAAATAAAGTGACAATAACATGGCAATTTGTTCAGATTTTGATGCTCACTCTCTGATGAGCAATTGAATTTTGCGGGATTCGCCGGAAATTCCTGAAAATGTTGGTTGGTAGATTTTACATACCTACAGGCCACATGAATGATTGTTTACATTTTTCTCAATATCTATCTCACTTAATATTAATCTCACCAAAACGTTTAAATGGGCAAATATAAAGTGTTCTCTATGATATATCGAAGACTGGAACCTTTGGCACGATAATACACTATACACTGTTTTACCACTAACCAAACCGATTTTTTAACGCCTCGACACGTGTTTCGCTAACTATGTTAGCATCTTCAGGATGAGATTAAAAACAGTTTTGATCTTCTCCTGAAGATGCTAACATAGTTAGCGAAACACGTGTCGAGGCGTTAAAAAATCGGTTTGGTTAGTGGTAAAACAGTGTAGTGTATTCTCTATGAGCATTCAGAATTCAGTACTAGAAAATGCAAAAAAGCATTGTAATTCTAAAAATTTTAAATAAACTGATAGGTATTTTTTAAATGGAACACTCAACACCCTGTATTTTATTTTTGTAATCGATAGAGCTCTTCCTTCTGATAATAGTTATTTATTATACATGGGAAAAAAAGTAGTAGATTTTAGCTCGAGACAAAAAAAAAGTGAGCTAAAATCTAATATTTTTCCCGTGTTTAATGCACTATTTTTTTCTGTGACAGGGAAAAGTACGAATCAATATTGAGAAGATATTACATTATAATAAAATCAGAAAATTATCAACGTGAAGTTTGATGTTTTTAACAGGAACTACACCTACGTTGCAGGCATTTTCTTGCAGGCATCTTCATCATTCTTTTGAAGTAATTAAATATCTGTCAGTCTAATTCTGTGATTTGATTTTAAAAAATTAGTGGTTGTTTAACAATTTACGTTACCGCGAAGTGGAATGGAAAATAGAAAGCACAACAAAAGCCATCAACAATGTATATGTATATAAATAATTTATAAGAAATCACATTTTATAACCTGTCAACAGAGATGAAATGTCAAACTTTTCCGTCACAGAAAAAAATAGATTTATTTCGTATAAAAATCTAAGGTATAACCCCCGAAATTGCAGCATGGTCGTCTGGCGTTCTACAGCTGTCTTAGAAATCTATATTTTTTTAAAAGTCTGACAAAGATAACCTCAAAGTATAAATATTTGAAATCAGGAAGAAAATGGAAAATATAAACAGTCACCCCGTACACATGAGTTTCCATTCTGAGGGTTCAAATGTGATATTATATTTATTATTATATATTTATTATTATAGGTATGTCACACGAGTTTTATTTGAAGCTGGAACCCGAAACATATTTGCCAACTTGAATCTATTCAAGCTAAGTACACGGTGTTTTCCAAAGGTGCACCAACAATCAACTATACCGGGTGTCCACGTAGTGTGGAAAGCTCTATTGCTCCATTGCAATGAGAGATAAACAAAATCTGTTTGGGGATATAATTCTATATCGTAAAGTCTACAATTCAAAGTGAATTCGATCTCTACAGGATGTTTTTTGAACGCGGGTCAAAAAAAATTATGACATGTCCTATTCTCGCAAATCCTTTCTAGCGTTTCTAAGTTGATCAGAATTATTTAGAAAAATTATAATACATATAATATGCCTTCGTTTCGTGTCGAGTCTTAAGTGAGTTAAAAAAGATTACGTTATTTTGAAAATTTCATCAGTTTTGGGATAATTCAATTATAATTTTGCCACAATTGAGTCCACGTGAAAAATATAAATGATACAGAGATAACATCAAGATCTTTTCATCGATATTATCGACATCGATGAAATTTGAAGTACTCGTAGTATCTATTATTTATATAGGTACTTACCTACTTTATACCTATATTTTATAAATTTGATAATTTCGCAACAATTGCTATTATGAGAAAAAATATTAAATAATGAGAATAAGTACTCAGAAAACAACAAACATTCAATGTGCGATACACCATATCAGATGAAATAAAATTAACACAGGTTGCACTTCTACTGAAATACCTAACAAAATTATGATCATTAGAAAAAGTAAACATTTGCGGTTCATAATATATCAATTTGTAAGATACCAGTAACTCTCAATTATGACTTCATTGAAGCTGAAGTCGAATGGAATCAACATCTGTGTATTATAATTTTTCGAAATAATTCTGATTAACTTGGCAACGCCTCAAGGGAATTGCCAAAATAGACAAGACAACGACAAATCAGAATATACAGGGTATTCCATTCATGATTCCTGAAGCCCTACATTCAAAAACATCATGTGGAAATCAAAATAATTTGGATTTGTAGACCTTACAATATTATACTATATCCCCAAACCGATTTTGTATATTTCTTATTCCAATAGATCAATAGAGCTTTTCCACTATACGTGGAGACCTGGTATAGGAAAAAGTTGTAAAATTAAGATTCAATGATTTTTATTATGGATAAACAAATGGTACAACTTCGACATTTTTTGTGAATATACCAGGGCCGTACTAGGAACCATTTTATCGGTTAGTCTTTGAACTTTGGTATATATAGCAAATTTTTTGTAGTCGATATTTGTTTGTTGAAAAGTATGCCTCACCTTTCAAAAACACCCTGTATATAACTGTGGAATCGGAAAACAAAACTGATACAGTCGGAAATATAATTTAAAGGTCTTGGATTTGATTCATATTCTTTGACCAGCACAGATCATCATTTCATCATTCAATTGAAGCATTTTTTATACTGTGTGTCCCAAGTCCTTGTCCGCAGATGAGCCGTTCTAGCAGACAAGCAGCTGATCAAACATTTATAAAGTGAATACCTGTATCCAGCGTCATCTATTATCAACAGAAATTATTCATGCTGAATCACAATTCTCAATTGGGAACATCATTTCAATCATAGTGCAAAGCAAACTGTTTTGGTCGTTTAAGCTTGCGTTATTCGTTAATTGGATAATTGAGTTGCACTCTTTGCATTTGTGTTATTGTGTTGAAAAATAGTTTTTCAATTGGGCGGTGACGTTCATTAATAATAATTGTGGAAATAGGTTTCAGTCAGAGGTGTTGAAGGTGTTTATGAAAGTACTCTTAAAGTAGAGAATAAGTGTTTCTAAACATTAGTCGACACAGCACTTTACCTACTATGTTTGAATACAAATTTATAGTCCTGTTCGTTTGTGCTTGCTCTACCTGTTGAACTTGATTTTTTCTATGACTTTCTGTGTTTACATCATGCCATGAACAGAGACAACTATGGTAAAAAAATCTACTTTAGCGAGTGCAGCGATATAAACGAACAGGCCTTATATTTCCATTGATTTCAGTAAAAATTTGAATATGAATAACGTACAAAAATGTTGGGATAGCTTCTACCCAATACATCATTTAAAATTTACTTTTTTGTAGTCGAGCAAGTTTGAATGTCATCAGGATGGTCGAATTTAGTCTAAGGCCAAAATTGAACATTTGGCCAAAAATTATTCCACTTTGAAAAATGTAACTTCCTGAAAAAGCTCTTCCTTAACAATGTTCACAGAAACTTTTTTTTCAACGAATACTATTCACCCCTCAGTTACCCTGAATGTTCGTAGAACTTATTATTAATTACCTATATGTGTAAGAACTTACCTATCTATTTGAAGTGAATGAATACATTTGATCATTTCTCGTATGATTCATATTTATTAAGCCATACCTTGATTTTGAACTTGTCATATATTAAAGTTTCATTTGGTGTAAACTGAATAAGTATGTATAGGTAGGTACAAATACAAACATGAATGTTGTTCCTACTCCAAAATAAACGTAGGTCTCGACGTAGGTGCCTATTATTCCTATTTGTAGACTAGAAATTGAACATAAAAATTTCATCTGTGCATTTGTCTACAGAAAAATAGAAAGTATGTACATACATACATACATGGTTTGATTCAGTCCTTATCGTTCTTTCCAAATATGGAATAAATGCCATTTATTCGGATGCACAAGATGTACGGAGGTGTGGAATGCATTGAATTTTTGACATTTTCATTGAACCGGGCCTGGATTTTCTTTTTTGTTGACGCCTCAGTGAATTCGACATGCTATGGAGAGTACGCACCTATGCCAAAGTCCAAAATAAAAAATAGAATTGTTCAAAAATAAAGAAATAGACGAAACAGATCTTGGTTTAGGGCTCATTTAATGACGCTGTTCCTTCATCACTCCCAAAATAAAACACCCTGTATAAATGAAAAATAACCAGTCCTGTCCTTGCGACGACTTCCAATAATATAATGAATATTAATATCAAGTATCACAAATGTCCTCTATTTCTCATGATATATGTGTCACATCAAAACTTGTAGATATTATCTAACCTAAATGTTTATTTACTTCTAGAACAACCAACGTAGTAGTAGTGCCGATCTCATCTTCAAAGACGGCGATTATGCGATCGAAGGTAGTGGATACAATGGCGAGGTGACCCATGACCTTGAATCGAGTGGGTCTGGCTTCGGGCCGGATGACGAAGATGATCCTGATAATGACAAGTTCCAAACACCAAGTAAGCCATTCCTCAAATTATTTCACCTGAAAACTTTTGACATAGAGAATATCAAATAATATTGATGGCTTCTTTTCACAACACAACCAGGAACTAGATCCTTTGAAGCAAAGCAAAAGTTACATTCTTCGTTTCTTTGTTAAACAGCAGATCTGGTCGAATACTCTTAAAATGAAGAAGTTTCTGAAATTTTTCAATAATTTTTGGCTGTTGAATTTTCAAAACTCAGTACATTGAGAATTCACATTCCAGTAATAACTCCCTATATATATGTACCTACCAAAATCCCTGATGTCCCAACCCAATCCAATTTCCTTTTCATTCCACGCCAAACTTATTCCTCTTCAGTAAAGAAAAAGCGATGATGCGTTTTGAAGCAAAATTATCCGGAAGTAAAGCACCTCTCCATTCGGATTTCTGTGCGAGAGGTGGTTCACCATCGGCTAATAAAGGCCTCAAGATAGACCTATGTAACGTTGGTCTAAGTATAAGAACATCAACGATGTCCATCGACACCTTCAAAATGAAAAGCCAGAGATATTGGCCCTGACATGAGACACAGTGGTCAATTCATCCACCAACACAACCTATATGCTCTGTCCTGGGTACGAGCTCCACACACGTTTCAGGTTCAAGGGAGGTCCTCTATGCTAAAACAAATCTCTCATTTCATCGAGAACAAAGTTCGGAACCAGATAAGATTGATGTGGTTGAAACTCGATAGCCAGAAACCGACCAAAATGATCCATCCTACAAAGAGATCTTCGAGTTCTTGTCTCTGACCTAATTCAGCAGCAGAAACCATCATCATGGGGATTTCAATTTACACAACACTGCTTGACTCGTACCCTCCGACAAAACGGATGAAGCTGAGCGACAAGCCGAAGCTTTCGCCATTACTCACGGCTTAGAGCAGCTTATCAAGGAACTCACACAAATTCCCGATGTCAATAACTATTCAGCCAACACCCTTGACTTGTTCCTCACTAATATTTCAGCACCTTAGACCATAGATGTACGAGCCGGATTGGAATTTCTGAACACTCCAGTACCCCCACCCCAGTACACAAAATCCCTGGTAACATTGCGAATCACAGGCAAACATCATTTGTATTGCCACGGACTCTTTATTCTACAAAAAATCTCAATATTCGTCTCGTTTTATTGGATGTGAGACTTGAAATGTAGGTCCATTTGTGAGGCTGCCTAACAACCAAGAGACTCTGAAACCTCACATTCTTGTCTTATAATGGAACAAATCGAATTAATCAATTTTTATGTTGAATGAATAGTCCAGTGCCGGATTTATACTCCCTTACGCCGGGGGCTAACTTTTATGATGACGCCGCGCCGCCGCCAAATATTAAATTTCAATTGTCAGATTCGAAATTCAAATAATCCTTTCACTGTTTCTTCACAGCATATAACAATATCATGAAATCTTCATATACAACGAATCAAATTATATTTACTTCCCACGTTAAACATGACAAATATTTTTTTTTTCAGATGAATACTAAAATACTTTTCTTGATTTTTTGATGCAAAGTCGTCAATGGCATCATTAAAAATCCAGATTTAATAACATGTCACTGTTAATACTCAAAATTGATAAGCTATTCAATGTATCCTCTACCATGGAATTCCTAAGGTAGTTTTTCACTCTTTTTGAAGTTGAGAATGACCTTTCACCACTGGCATTACTAATCATCAGGGATAGGAAAATTCTTAGAGCTACTTCCACGTTGCAAAAAGTATCTGTGATCTTGTATTTGTGTAAAAGCGCCATCAACGATCTTGCATTAAATATTTAATCACTTTTGTTTTCGGCAATAGAATTTAGGAAATATTTCAATTGAACATATTCATTGCCGAGTGACTCATCTACTACATCATTTGGGTATACATCAATCAAAACACGTGCTTTATCTACGATGACATCATCTGGCAGAGATGCAATTGAGAACAAAAATGCGAATGTAGAAGACAGATCTTTGTAGGCTTCAGCACGAATATTTACTCCACCCACCGAATGGTCGACTGCTTTGAGGAATACGGTATTACCTGGGTTCGCATTCTGGTCTGTGGTGTCAAAAAAGCTTCAGTGTCAGCTTCTTCAAGAGCCAGTTTCCTCTTACGGCTTATAGTTAAGTTCTTTTGAAAGACAGTATCTCAACCAAGTCCTTCTGATGCGGTGCCGACTGCCAGCAGTAGCTAATTGCGCGTTTGGTTCAAAAGGCGACTAAAGAGGCGGCATATATAATAAGCAAGAAACAATATAATATATTTGTCGCCTCGTCGGCGACGACTGTATTGCTGCTTGCTTTTTCTCATTTCTCTTTTTCTCTACCGCCTCACCGCCGGGGGCTGATAGTCCCATAGCCCCCTCCTAAATCCGGCACTGGAATAGTCGCTTAATACATTTCTGTTTCATTTGCCATCATAAGGTGAATCATAAAATGACCAAAAGGGTCCGGAATAGCAGTCATTGTGATATCAGTGGGACTCTCGATTCGAGTCACGGATGTGATATGTGGCAGGAATGTGATGCCCTCTAATATCTCTGATCAATCTGTGTTAACTGGGACGTATTGTATGACATTATAACTCAGGAGACTGGGACGGTCTCTGCATGTTTTTCTCCGAGTTTCCTTGGCATAGAATATGCTTTGATTTTGAGGATCCGTCACAGTGTACTGCGGAAATTTCTGAGATCATCACGCTTGGAATGGACACAAACATACCTCATTCTTCGAAAAGATCATCACCTTCGAAACCCTGGTTCAACAAGAACTGTTCTAGAGCTGTCGCCTTGAAACAAACAGCCTGCCCAACAACTACGAGCCTATTACCCTGTTATTAGTTATCTTCAAAGTGATGCAGAAAGCCATCAACATTGAGCTCATCAAATAATTGTAAAGCTCAGAAATCATTAATGATAGACAATATGGCATTCGCCTACGTCACCCATATTTGGCAAGCTTCATGTTTGACACCAAGGACTTCTCGACAAACTACCATCATATGGCATACCACCCCAGCTATGCGCTCCAAGAGATAAAAAAATATAGTGTAGCATCCTGTAGCAAGTTCTGCTGAGTATTGCTCCCAATTGCTCCATTCAAGTTGTTTTATTATCTCTATCCGTTATCCGTTAAAATAGATTCCAGAATTCCAGTTATTGTTATTCAGTTACAGAATACATGTTTCATTTCCTTTCCATGATAAATTTAGAATTCACTCAAACATTTTGAATTCAAACAAATAATCTTGTACAGATAACATGAAATAAATTAATGCGTAGCATGCTCACCATTTTGGGGATAAAATTGTTCATTAGAGGAAATTCAATCTTTTCTCTAGTTTTCCAAATGGAGATAGTGGGTGATCTTTGTAATATTTTGAAGAAAAACATTTCACTGGACTTACACTTAGACAATGAATGCATGTTTATTACCCTAGAAGAGCATTTGTAGAGCAAATAGTATTTATCTATATGACAAAATGGAGTTTGAAGGCATTTCAATTTTATGCTTATGATGTTTATTGCTATTTATAGGCTAAAACTTGCTATTTGATTATTCCAGACGTAGTCAACCCTGTATTTGATGCTGCACCACCAGGTAGGAATCTACCTCCAGATGAAGTAGACATCGATAACAAGGACGTGAACAAGGAAGAAGATAATATTCCGGATACCACCACAGACACCAGTGTCAGGATGAATCCGAAATCTGACGATCGCCCAACTTCATTCTTCGCTCAGCCCGGTATTTTGGCAGGTAAGATAAACATTTGTATCCCTATTATTACTATACTTACGATAATAATCAATAAATGAATCATTGAAAGCATTTTGAACCGGTACATAATTTGCCCAAGCAACTATATTTTGAGATTTGACAACGCGGTTAGCGTAGCAGCATTGACAACCGACGTCATTAAAATCGATATTTTATTCCATGGTATGAAATCTGTAACAACACAGTGAAATTATTATCTGCCTCTCCTGGATACATCAACAGAAATTAACAAAGTTCGTCCTGATAGTTGAGTTTGGGTCACTAGGCTTCTCATAGCCTTTTGTAACTTCAACTAGTATGATATTTTGTGACTACTCAATAAAGCAGTTTAGGCCGGAATATTCAATATTTGAACTTCTTTTCAACTTTGTAATTCTACTGGGGGGCAGCTGAGACACGTATTCGGGTACCAGAGTCACTTCCCGGTGTTTGAACCTTTGAAATTCTGCATTCGCACATTATAATTATGTGGCCTATCTGCTCAATTTATCTACCAAAGGGGGCAACGCATTGAACAGTAAGAATACACCAGTAATTCAAGTTGTGGTTCGATCTAGAAACACTTTCATATGAGTATACCATGCTTTGTTTAGCTTGCCTTCAGGCATTGATGTTTCCTTGATAGAAATCTCTGTTTGGGGATTCCCATGATGTGTCATGTTGCCTAGCATGGGTAATAGCACTTTGCTATTCGCCTATCTAGAATTTCGTAGACAAATCCACTGGTGGCAGCAAATTTGCTTTCAAGAAAAACAGCCTGAAGTAGCAGGACTCAATCAGTTAGGACATATTGAGACAACTTGATCCCAAAAACATATTATGTAGTTTCTGCCGTACCAATCAGGGCTCTCCACCTGAAAATGGTATATAGTGATAACTATATACAGATCCATTACTCTATTACCAGTCATAGGGGAGAACATGGAAAAAAATCATCAAAAGATGCTTCTAGTGGAACTCAAGAATAAGATTCCCATACATCAGTTGGATTCAAGGAAAACGCTAGCACATCACATCCCCTATTAGTAGTTGCATCGAATGTATAGAGGCAATGGGACTCATGAAAAAAAAACAGCCGGAATATTCCCAGAAATAATTATGGCATTTGACTCGTTATGGCTCAATGATTTGTTGTTCAAGCTACACCCTATTGATAGTTCTCTAGCTCTTCTAATGATCATCAAGGAATTTCTCATTGACAGAGTTTGTATGATCAAATTGAACAAGCCCCACTCAACACCATTCTAATTGAATCAGGACGTGCCACACGGCTCGCTACTGTCGCCTTTATTATACATCCTCTTCTGCAGTGATGTTTTTTCGATGAGAGACGAAACCACGAATGCTATTGAATTTGCTGATGATTCAGCAATAATAGCTTATGGACGAACTATAGAAAGGGCAACACAGCTTCTTCAGATACAATTTGACGCAATATCTTGGGTTACATTGATGGAGACTGAAACTTAATCCACAAAAATCTATGATTATATTCAATCGCAAGATAAAATCTGCATCCCAACTATTAGATTTTTGGACCACGATGTTGAACCAACAAGAGAACTACAAACAAAATACTTTGGAATAACATTCGATAACAAAATAAACTTCAATAATAAAATCACAGATGATAGCCCGGTGTAAGCACTTCCGAGGACTGACATAAAAATCGAGGAATTAAAACTGAAACTGCTGCATCCAAAATGTATGAAATTATTTGCAGGCCAATTGTTGAATACGGGTTCCTACTTCAAAGCAGTTGTATGCAACAAATTAACAAATAATCCATGTGCGAGTAACTGCTTTTGTCCACTAAATTATTTCTTGAGAAGGAATATTCTCAGACAATTCAGAATTTCTGTCCATGACTTGATGAAGATCAACTCATCATACACTGTAAATTAATTCTTTCTTCTTACTATAAATTTGAAGCAATCTTCGTGGTGCAGCTCACAGTGCGTTCGGATTCCACGCCGGCGACCCGGGTTTCTCATTCTGTTTCCTCAAGTGATTTTCCGAAAAAGGTTCATTTAGGCCAAGTGAGGTTAGAATGTTTCGAAAAAGTAGTCTCCTTTCTTATGCAGAAGGGATAATATGTTCCTTCCTTTCTGAAAAAAGTACTGTGGAGGCGTTTGCTGTTGATACTGATAGTGATTCGCTATTTCAGTGATTTTTTTTCCAGAGAAATTTTCTGTATTCTTGATTCCGCGCCAATTATAGGGGTATTGCTATTATTTTCTAAAATGTGAAAACATTCGTTGTTCGAATTTACCTCCAATATCAGTGATTGGTCATGCAATCACCTATGCATATGTTTGGGCAAAACGGATTAGTGCAGGAATATTAAGGTAGCAGAAAGATCCTGTTTTCGGTCAATCACTAAAATTCGCCACCCAATAATTCCCTATACAATCCATCCCACTAAGAAAAAAACAGGGTGTCCCATGACGACTTAGACAGGGAATATCTCGGAACTCCTCCCCATGAAACGATTTCAACAAACTATCACAATTGTAGTCTAAAACTATTAAATTGAGAACCACAGGTACATACTTCAATATATTTTCTCCCATGACGATTATGATCAACGTCTGAAACGAGCAATTGCCAAATTATTCAAGTTTAGGGTGCAGTCCTATACTTCTTGTGATGATTAGAACAATAATCATTCATATTTCATTAAAAAACGTAGGTAGTCAAACAATTTTGGGACAAAAGATATTGAAGTACATACCGGTAGTACTTATAGGTATTAATTGTTATAGACCTAGACCACAAGTGAGATGGTTTGTTTGTGAAATCGTTTCATCGGGAAGAATATTGAAATGCCAAAATATATAGGTTGTCCCATTTAAAATGTTGAATCTGATTTCACAATTTTATTGTATATTTGGCTGGAAGACCTAGGTTCGATGGCCTTATGGAATAAGTTCCAATAAAGTATTTATAAAACTAAACTAAAAACTAGTCCATTTTTTCATTACAGCTGTCATTGGAGGTGCTGTGGTGGGGCTACTATGCGCAATACTGGTGGTGATGTTCATCGTATATCGGATGCGTAAAAAAGATGAAGGTTCATACGCCCTCGGCGAACCGAAGCAGTCTCCGAACTCGAATTCCTACAGTAGAGCAACAACAAACAAAGAGTTTTACGCCTGAAAATAGTGTTATGACTGTAATGGACGATTGTTTTGAGAGTTTGCGATTCGCTCATCAGAAAGCTCAGGCAGGCGTTAGGGACTGAATCTTCCGCTTGTAGTGAAGCTTCAATATCAAACGTTTAGGAAACATACTAATTATTGAACGCACACGAGGCAAGTATGTTTATTCCATATTTTTTCCAAGATTCCATCATTTTGAATATATTCTTTATCATTATTTTTTAACGAAAACAAAATCATGGTATAGCAAAGAATGGGTCTACTATTGCCAAAAACTGCCAACAGTGTGAGTGGATATTGATCTGTTCTTCAAAATTTCATTTCAAATTCGAATAATACAACATATACTTTGGGTGTATATATAAATGTAACAAAACAAAAACAACTAAATGTTTAACGTCCATTATAATTTTGAGGATATAGTACATTTTCATGTGAATATTATTTCATTTGTTTCTGATTTAATGTGGAAATCACAATTTTATTTTATTTGCCCATGTACTATATGCTCAAATAATACTTAAAGGTACCTATTTAATATAGAGTAATAATTTTAGTAATAACTGGTAACAATAGGTCTTAGAAATAACAATTTTTTGTTGTTCTGAGCAATCTGAGCAGGATTTTACATATGCTCATTGTAATGCAGCTAAGTCATTCATTTCTATGATACATTCCTTGTTGCATATTCGGAAATTTTAAAGGAAATTGTGCATTATGGGTGGGTACCAAATTTCCAATGTAGTAAGTAATTATCAAACATGAGTTAGTAAATTCACAGTTGTTGGAATGTTGTCTACCAAAACAGACAGTATTTATCTTCAAACTATTTTGATCAAAGAAGCATAATAATTGAAATTCTCATCTCCTGTCTGAGATTACAGAATTTTTTCACAATGTTGAAATTCAGGAACCTGCCTATATCCTTCTAAAATTTTCATTTCTAGGACTAATATTATTGTATTTGGTAGTAATGAAGGATAAGAGATGCCATACTCTTATAAACACAAAAAGTATCTCAAATAATTTATGAGCTGATATAGTTTTGGGTAACAATTTTTTGGTACCTATATAGAAGATATGTTATTTTTTTGTGATTAATTTGATTATTTTCTGCCTAAATACTATCCAAAATATAATTGTATTCAAACTGGAAACGAGACTCACTATGCACTAAACATTTCGTTAAACTATGTGGCCATACATTTTGGAATGAATGATATATTTTTACCTGATTAAAAGAGATATGGTTTATTCTCAAAGTTAATGAACTGACCACTTGATAGCAGCTTATTATTAAAACTGATAATACTCATTAGACATTATTTTCATCTTTCTTTACTCATTACCATTTATTTGTTCCAGTGAAGTTTTTAGGTAGAAAATTCTAACAAAACCCTATATCAATAGGTAATAGCCATTTCTAGTTTGGAATAAAACAATAATTTTTATAGAATTACAGAAAGCTGCAATATTAGTAGGGATTCAACCACACAATCACATCTCCTCTAGACATACCTACTTTTTGAGAACATGTGAATTGGGAATTTTTAGAATTTATGTAGCAGTGATAATACCAAATAAAATTGTACTATGAGAAGAAGGAAAAACTCTTGTCATCTCCACAATTCTGATATACAATTCTAGTGCTGATTATAAGTTGTACTATGTGCCGTTGATGGAACTCTACAAAAAGTGGTCAAACCATTATATATTGTGGACTAGCTTTGATAACTAAACTAAGAAATTTGTCCATTCTCATCAGTGAAACCTCAATCTTTCTCCACCCATATTTCTGGCTTGTGTTTGGCGTGTAATTATTCAATATGCAATTGGGTGTAGTAGAATTCTAAAACAAACATGGTTCTGCAATTTCAATGTTAGCACTACTGTGTCCTCACATTATTCTGAAAAAGTTAATGCAGACTCTAGCTGTCAGTGGCTGTACTTATATATATAAATATTTATCAACTATCATAGCCAGAATTCGGTTTGATCTTCAAAATAGTATGAATGGAAATTCTTCATTGATATTGTAGATAAGGTATTTGTTCAATCATAGCTCATTGGTTTCAGTAGGTATGCCAGAGTCACATCACCATTTTCTGGAATTTTTATATCAGATAATATTAGTGTTCCTTGGTTGAAAGATTTGGTATTCCAGTGAAGTAAATTTGAGATTATTATTCCACAGTTTCCAAAGCCTAGCAAAGAATTTACAGGTTTATATTATGGCTATTATATTAATCAGTAGAGTGTCAGTGACATCCCATTCCAGCATTATGCTTTAGGCTTCTGGTTTTTTTTACAGGTTCCTACTAAATACACATTGAAATTGTTGTTCTTATTGATGCAGGATTGTTTTGTATTGTGGTTTGTTTTTTCACTTTAATGCAGAAGTTAGATTCATAGTGACTTGTCAACCTGCAAAAGTTTTCTTCTGTGTATCATGAAACTGACAATTTCCTAGGGGTTGCTTGCAAGGTTCAAGTAATGACACTCGATAATCAAGGCCCATCTCACAGTTGGCCTAAGAATAGCAAACATGTAATAGAATCTTCTTGACGAACGCCTCCATATTATTGTTAAGAGCTAACCAAAATCGTTGTATGGATGGTTCATTATACCAGGGCATTCCTCTGAATGATAATTATGTTAATTTTATTGTTTTTCCGGGAGTTTTCTATCTATTGATATTCATTACTGGAATGATTATTCATATCACTTTTCACAGAGGCACTTCATTTTACCTTGATATAATCTGTTAATTATTATTGGTGATTGGTTTTTTGAGCTTTGTGAACTCCTGCTACTTGGGGTGGGAGTCTGAGGTGATGAAGTCTGATATTTCTACCCCCTACACCCTTTTTGAATTGCTCTTTAGACTACATGGTGTCGACGAAATGCTATAGGATAATTTTCCTTGTATGGTCGTCGTCAAACATGTTTTACATTTTTTTAGGAGCAAATTGATTATTTATTTAACCCTTTTTATGTTATATACCATTAATGTTATAGTTAATATATCAATGATATATACTTACTACAATAACTTTTTTTATTAAACTGATAGTAGCTATTCGAGATTGAAGTGTATAGTATTAGAATAATGTTGTACAATCCAGTTGTAAATAAAGCCTCAAAATTCAATTGTTTGTCTTATCCCTCCTCTAATTGTAATGGTTTTTTTTCAGGAAAAAAACATCGATCCCAAATATAAATTTATTTTCAAAATAGTGAGGCAACATTAATAAAAACAGAATGCCATCTGGTGAGACAAACTAGATCTTGTTGAACGCAGCAATATCAACACTTTGCACCTGAAACAAAAAAAACAAAATGTTAACACTTATTTGAATGGGTATAAGTTTTGGGGCAACTCACATAATCCTCCATTTTTTCAATTTGTTCTGTAAGCCAATCAATGGAAACTTTGTCATCTTCCACAACACTGGAAATTTGTAGTTTATGAATACCAAAGGCAAGGGGTACCAATTTTGCTGCGCCCCATAGTAGGCCATCTGCTTGAATTGTCCTAACTTGTTCTTCCATAGCTTTCATGTCAGTCTCATCGTCCCAAGGTTTCACATCCAGAATAACATTGGATTTGGCAATCAAGACAGGTTCTGAATACAAAATAATTTGTCAACTCCACAAATCAAACTATTGAAGAGAATGGCATAGTCTATCCAAAATCAATGAGGGCTAACATTTTCACTCACCAGTTGGCGCTACTAAAACATGAGGTCAAAGTGAAAAATCCCAAAGTTTTGCCGGATAGCCCTAAAAGCTATTGCCTGTTTTGTCGAAAATATTGGAAAAAAAGATTTAGAATATTTGAACAAATACAAAACCTCAAGTCATAGAAAGACGTGACCCCTGATTTATAGATACCATAACGCACCTCAACGTTATAATCAACGTTCCGCAATCAGTACCGTGTAAGACGATGAAATAAAGTTGACATTTATAGATTTTCCTGAATTTGACACTCGCCAAGCTTGTCATATAAATTTGTATTATTATTTTTGTTCGGACTATAAAGCCTGATTGATGGAATGAGCATTGTTTCAAAGCACGAGGATCAATCTGTTCAAGCTATTCCAATTCTCCCAATGGATGATAACTTGGATTATGAATTATTTGACACTACTACAGCTGGAGTTCTGTTATTTGCGGCAGCAATAGGAGCTTTCGCAAATCGCAGCTTCAAAACCTACCACACACCAAAAAGCAACAAATAGCTATCTTACATGATCTCCCCTGAAGAACAGTTTGCATCAGTTACTTCATTATCCATGAATAAATAAATTGAAGTTACCAGATATATTCAAATCCGTATAATATCCCTGCAATTTCCTTCTTCCAACTAGTCTCCTCAATTGAGCTCTTTTCTACCTTCAACGAGAGAGAGGAAAGTTCTCTCCTCTTCCATCTTTCTCTTCAATGCTACCAACCTGGCCGCATTGAAATATAGAGAGGTCCGATAAATCTTACCTTGTCTAACCTCTAGTCTGCGATACTGAACAATTTTCGATGTTATTCGCGATAGAAAATAACACGTCCCTTTACCTGACGGTAACAACTTGAACTCTGGGCGGTTTGTTTTGATGATGTGACCAATAAGCACAAACAAAAAACAAAAGTGAACCAATGAAAACAAAGTAAACATGCTGCTTTAACAGCTTTCAAGAACTCCGATAGGTGGCGTACACTTATTTTCTATCGCGGATAATGATATTCTTTCCTTCTGAACTGGCATATTTCACTCAACTGAATAAGTTAACATGCATTCTAACTAATCAAATTCTTTCGAAAGAACACATAATAACTGATTCAGTTCAGTTCTAGTGAGATATTTCAGTTAGTTCAGATTATAATGATGTGATGTCTTTATGAATGTCATTGACTGATAACCTATCAGGAAGGATCTGTACAGACTTGTTCAAGGTACAGAGATAATGGAGTGGGCACAATAGAGAACATTAGGTAAGATACAATGGGCCACCATAGGCCTAAGTGTCGTCGGAGACATGGTCAGACGAGCCTACAAACGGGGTGGAGTTTTTAGTGGGTAAACCCTGGCTAGAGTCAGGGGAGTCTCACACTACCATATGGGGGATAGGACCCATATGGTGTCCATAAAGGATTTAAACCACCTCGACAAAAGAAAAATCTATCAAATTTTTGAAATGAAATTACAGATTATATCATTACTCATATACTCATTTTGACACATTTCGTTAATATCGGTGATTTAATACACTGCTGAATTCAAAAATAGTTAAGTGGTATATAAACTAGATGTTGGACAAGGAAAGATTGATCGGAACTCTCTATATTTCGATGCGGCCACATTGATAGCATTGAAGAGAAATATGGAAGAGGAGAGGACTTTCCTCTCCCTAATTCAATATAGAAAAGAGCTCAAATGATGGCATTTTTATTTTTGTAATACCTGTTTGACTTATATATAAAACGAAATGATATTTTCGGTGAGGCTTCTCAGGACTCCTTCACCAATATTGTATGTAGAACAATTATATATCATTGATCAATTCCTAATGTTAATCAAACAATAAATCCAACCTTCCTTCTGCACGACGTTTTGTCACCGTTCCACAACGCGAACATAGAAAGATGGAAATGGGCATCTCTCGCGTTGAAGCCACGATCAGTATTTTGCGGAACGACATTCTATAAACATTACTGAAAAAATCCTATGTTTCATCTTCTACCGAGTAATGGAAATACTTGCGTTACGTTACGTTATTGGATCTATAAATCAGGGGTGAGCCGTCTTACATTGACGGAGAAGAAAAATATCATAGCAAAAGGCCAAATGACAGGAAAATAAGATCAGTTCTACTACCCCTGATCTCATGTTTCGGTGGCGCGGTTTGGTGGACAATAACATTAGTTAGGCCTCATTGGAGCATCACGCACCGCGCGGCGATGGCGGGTTTAGTTAATATAATAATAATATAAAAATATAACCAATATTTTCAGTATTGAAATGAAAATCGAAATGTATAGAAGTACACTTTTATGAACTCTCATCTTGATGAGCTTGGAACTTCATAATAATACATCATATTATTCTATTCGATTTGAGAGATAAAGACAATTCTCAATTTCAGAGGATTTTGATTTTTCATGCTCTCTTTTTGGATATTCAACAGATATAATTCAATGTTCGACGTGGCAAATAGCCTGGAAACTAGTTGTTTTCTGTTGAATATTCAGAATGATATTATATGTATATTTTTATATGGAAGAGAATGCAAATTCCCTACTTCAGAAGATTTTGTTTTCAAATGCTTATTGTGTGTGTTCAATAGATGTAATTCAATATTCGTGGTGGCATATAGCCAGGAGAGTAGTTGTTTTCTGTTGAATAAACCCAGTAAGAATTGATATTTTCATCACATGGAGAATGCGAATTCCCAATTTATTTCTTTATTTATATATTCATTTTATCGTGTTCATGAATATATCTGAGAATATTCCTTTTCAAAGAATATTAAGATTTTAGCTCTCGGATTTTTGTCAAGTTAAAATCTAATACTCTTTCCATTGTATAATAAATAACTATTTCTATGAAAGAAATGTTGGTGTGGGTATGATAAATCAACAGGAATTTTATTAAAAATCCCTGTGTCTGCTGTTACATACTTTTAGATTTTTTGGCTGCATATGCCGCCAGCCGTTCTTCTCTGACTTTGGCGGCTGCTTCGCTTTCTCCATCAGAATCTGAGCCAAAAAGATCGACATCGTCGTCGTCGTCTTGGGTAGCCCTATTCGAGGGAGGTGCTGGTTGAGCAGGGGAAGGCATTTGTATTTGATGCATGGGTCGAGCCTGGTTCAAATTCTGCTCCATAGAAGATACACGAATGTCTAGTGCGTCTATGTGTTTCAAAATGGCACTCATTGCTGAAATAGGGAGCAATATTTATCTATGCTATAATTTTGTCTGTATTTGCGGTAGGAGTATTATAGTTTTCAAGTAGGACAACCTGTACATGCACACATAATATTATACATACAGGGTAATCTACGTAGGCCACACGAGCACACATTAGAAGTTTTCAACTTTCAGTTGAATAGAAAACTTGAAAATTGGTATGTTGTTATTATGTTTTTTTTTAGTTTTCACAAATATGCTTCATTTTCAATTCATATATAAGAGTTACCAATACAAAAAATGTTTTTATTACCCTACATCACATATTTCAGTCTATAAAAGTACTTCATTTAACAGATATATACATGCATATCTCCCTAGGTACACACGATGTTCCACGAACATTATAGGAATTTCCTCTCGTGCGCTCCAAGAGATAAAAAAAATATATAGGAAGGATATATATACAAACTAAAAGAAAATATTCAGAACCTGAAAATATTGACATCCCCGCTCCCGAAACGAAAAATATGACTATATGTATAAATATGAAATATATTTGTTTAAAGCATTGTTTCAAATCAGCAGTAGTACAGTAACAAAAATTCAATTCAATTCAATAGCTGTCCACGTATCGCATCAATTCCGTTTTGAATGTAGAGTAACTATCTTTTTATGGAGTTATGCAAAATATTGAATGTCTCAAGATATTTAGAGAAAGTATTATTCCAACCAATGTCGGCACAAACTTTCTTATTTTAAATCGAAACCGATTTTCCAGATATATCGAATTTTCTGAAAATAATGGGCCTTTCCAGTCATTTCTAATCAATTTTTTTTTCGAATTTCATTTTTTTTTTGTTGTAAGCAAACAAACTATGTATATTCGAACAGAGAATACCATATTCACAAAAAAATCCTGATAGCTTTTGGGAGAAAAGGTGGTACCATATGGTACCGCTAGGCGCTTCACTGACCATTCTGTTTTGACTCTATGAACAATAATAAGTCAAGAGAAGTAACTTTATTTAGTGTGGAAATTTTTGAAACACTATGCATAATCCAAATTTTTGGCACATTGTTCTAACTCTGCTTTTACAAAGAGACCCTGCACATCTTCTCCGGCCTGCTTCTCGTGTCTGAACCACATAGTGATGCATTCCATCGTACCTAACGTTTTCATAAACTCGAAAGTCGCTGCCAGATGCCTTTGATGTTCGACCTGGGCCTTTTGGTTCGTTTTTGAATCGTGTCAAATATGTCTGAAACACAAATCGAATGTTGATTATATAATTATCTTGATATTCTATGAATGACAATATTCTAGGCTAACCAATACCTCAATCAACGATATAACTGTTTCACAAACACTTTAGAGTGAGAGGAGACGAGGATCTGTCCGTACCCTGTTTAGATGACTTTAACGTTAATTTCCATCAAGGGACTGTAGTAATCAAATATCTGTCAGTCTAATTCTGTGATTTGATTTTGAAAAAATGCGAACTTAGTGGTTGTTTATTAGTTATTTATGTAACCGCGAAGTGAAATAGAAGATAAATTGACTTGCAGTTCTTTCACTTCATTCTCGGAGACCGTGTTATTGGCTTAAAGAAGAACTATTGCCTCTAGTTCAATGATTTTTTCTTTAAGGATCCTATCGAATTAGATAAACAGATACCTCCAAGTAATAATGGGGTATTTGATAATGAAAAGGATTTCAACCCTTACACAATGTTTTTGAACCCATTTACGGAACATGAATTACTCTCATGGTTAAAAAACAAACTAAACAATAAAAAATCGTCTGGTCCAGATGACATACCGATGTTTATATTGAAAAGAGTTCTTTGTGAGAGGTGATTTTCCACACAAGTTAAAGACTGGGAAAAGTCATTCCTATTTTCAAAAAGAAAGACACAACCCTTGTGGAAGATTATTGTCCTGTAACAGTCCCTTGTGGACTTTCGAAAGTTTTCGAATATGCCTTTTTGGAACGTCTTAATTCGTTTCTTGACAAACATTCTGTCTTGAGTAATAGGCAGCATGGATTTCGTTCTGAAAAATCTACGAACACAGCTATGTTCTCATTACTGAACAAAACCTGACAAAACCATAGAATACGTTGATTCAGGTGAATGTCCAGCGGTAATTCTTTGTGATTTAAGTCGAGTTTTCGACTGTGTCAACCATCAAAAACTGAGGTCGAAATTAGAAATGTATGGAATAAGAGGCGTATGTCTTAGTTGGTTCTCGTCATTTCTTCACAATCGAAAGCAATTTGTTTCCTTACAAGTAAAGTACATTGATGACTGGCGAGGGGCAAGGGATTGGGTGTTTTGGCTGGCTCAAGATTCAGAATTCTGATCACCCTGTATGTGTTCCGATTGAATATCAGTTAATAGTACCACTCGATACATCTAGAAATCTAAGAGTAGCTACTCCTTTGATTTATTTCCACTACGTGACCAATATTATTAAAACAAAAATTGTTTGACTGTATGTCACTGTGGTAAATTATTTCTTGGTAATGGAAAGGGTTCGATCTCCTCACTACATATTGTATGTTAAGTTCTTCCATAATCACGAGATTTTTGAAAAAATATATATTCAGCCTATGTCAAATTCTTCCATATCGTTAGTGATTTTGGAAAAAAAAGCACCTGTATACAAAATACCTACCCCCCCCCCCCCCGTTCAATTTTATTATCATCATTAGTCATAGATAAATCATTTTTTGTTCGGAAATTTATCGGTAAGCAGGATGATTCAACTTATTAGTCATTCATTCGGGACCAGGTGGTGAATCAAGACAGTCTTATATTAGATGTCATCACGTACGGTCGACATCGAAAAATACGCGAAAGGAATTATTTATCGTTCCAAACTGAGTGTTTCCTGAAGACTGAGTGATTGTATTGATTCGTATATAGTGTTTTTGTATTCCACATTCGATTCAATAATAATAATATCGGGATCGTGTGTTGTTCTAGTGTTTCGCGTTGTTTCATCAAAGCCTCATTTTTTTCACGCTGGTGAGTGGAGAGAAATTATCTCAATTTTTCCTCATATTTCTCTGTATTCATTTAACTTCATAACCCTATACATACAGGGTATGTCACGACGAGCTTACACTATCTTTAAATCGAGAATCAGTCGGGAGAAATCCATGAAAATGTGCATGCTTATATTTTAGTATACGCTCTTTTCATTTAGGATATGTTCGACAATGCAGTGTTGCCGCTTCTACTAGAAAGTGGTAGCAACATTGATATTTCGAACGGAACACCCTGTATTTTATTTTATTATTTTATTGGGGTCTATCGAAAATGATTACAGAGATGCCGAAAATATTCATTATCGGTCAAAACGGCTTACATGTCCCTATCTCAACTTTTGTTTCACTATTTACTGATATTTAAATCGAAACTGATACAGGGAATCCCTATAATGTTCAGAGAACATCGTGCGTTCCTAGGGAGGATAGGGACAGGAGGTAGGTATTGGAATTTTTTTTTGAACTTTTGGAGATTATATGTTGTTGAGAATACTTCCACAGGCAATGAATTCCAGAGCCTAGCCGTTCTATGGATGAAGGAGTCTTGATAAAGTGCTGTTCGACATCTTTCGAGGTTGACAACGAAAGGATGTGCTGACTGGGCTTGTTGTATTTTCTCCGATCAAGGAATACTTTCTTCTGATTTTCGTGCTTCCTGTTCGAAACTGTATCTTTTAAGAATTCGCCATCTTCAATAACTGTGATACAGAGCGTAATCTTGATTTTGGCAATATCTTCATCTATGGTCAGGTCATAACTTTTGAACCACTGTGTATAATCGATTCATACTTGGTAGGTATATTTAACTCATATTTCTGCAAAATCTTCATCTATGGTCAGGTCATAACTTTTGAACCACTGTGTATAATCGATTCATACTTGGTAGGTATATTCAACTCATATTTCTCATCAAAACTGAATATGAATCGAATTTAGAATCCAGATCCGTTTTCAGGTAAAACAAAAAACTTTTTTTTTAACAGTGCGCATCCAATTTGAAAAATAGTATTTTTATCGAACTCGTTATTCAAAAAATCCAATTTTATTACAAAAAAATAACCAGTCCTCAAATTTCAACTCAATTAGAGCCGAATTAGGTGAACTATCGATGGATTTCGTTCTATAGAACAATTTGTCAATTATTTTAGATATTTTCGAGTGCTCATTACATTTTCACACACACAAATTAATTAAGTATTTTACACTCTTGAATTTTTGTACGTGGATTCATATTACGAAATTATTTATTTTAGTATTGTCAATAATTTTATATACATATTATACGTACATATTATACGTCTCCGATGTTTTTGTGATTGTTTAACACCGGAGTTCTTTCATTTCATTTATTTTTATATCTATCCATTTTGATTGTTTGTATATAAATATTTTACACTCTTGAATTTTTGTACCTACTTAGTTTTATATTCCAAAATTATTAATCTTAGTATTAGCTCGTCAAACGAAATTCATAATTTTTCACCACGTACAAGCAGCATTTGCTACTTCTATGGGTTTTGTGATGTTTATTCACCTAATGTTAACTTGCTATCATTATTTCTCTCATTGTATTCTGATTCTGTCGAAATAAACATATTATTATTAACTAGGGAAAAAGCCAAATACTCAAAGTGGAATGCATTGGTCACAAAGGGAGAAACTCAAAGTCATTACGACAACTAGTTCATAAAATGAACGACAATGGTAGATAACGAGAGAAAAACAACTACTTTCCTGGCTATATGCCACGCAGAACATTGCATTACATCCTCCCGAAACCTATGCGATAGTTCGTATAAACGAATAAAATCGCAAGTGTTTCCTTCCTGCCAGGTGGCGTTCGGCGTTCGCGTTTTCATTTCGCAGATGTCGAACGCCTCGTATGGTATAAATGCTGATGCGTTTACGTTGGGTCAGGTTCGCACCAGATAGCGGTCAAGAAGCTATCTGGGACAGCCCTGTACTGATGAGAGC